GCAAAGGGATCTCATTATAATATTACCGCTCCTTAAACTGTAAGTTTCCACCCACGGAACCGTCATTGTGTTTTCGCAAGCGACAACGGTGTACCAGCTCTAATGCCATGGCGAAAGTTTGAGCAAAACATGCTAAATGTACTGCCTTGTCTGCACAGACGAGCACAAAACACTATTTAGATCTAAAATAAACATGCAATTTATTTCCCAGCTGTTTACCTTCTCAGACATAACCGACTGTTTTTGTAACTCGTGTGTTTTTAACGTAAACTTGTGTGTGAATGAGAACTTAGTTTAGTACTCACATGCTGTGTGGTGGCCGCTTGTGTACTTCGGATGTGTGCTCTCAGAAAACTGTATATCAGAAGTTTAAACTCATGGTTTAAACCGCATGATTTCAGCGAGATAAATATGAAATTAAACATGATAAACATGATAATCAGAACCATAACAGATGTTTTTAGCAGGTCCGGGCTCTAATGCCGCACCTCTATTCTCGATAAGACAAAAGCTCAATACATACACAATGTCCTGGAAAGTGGCTAACAATAATTCATCATCTCCTTCTGTAACGGGGCTGACAAGACGTGAGACGTGCGGATCCATCTGCAAGCTTTTATTTAAGAGACATGGTCAGAAACAGGCAAGGGTCAGACAATGGCAACAGGTATATGGAGGGCAAGACACAAGAATAAACCTAGGGCTAGAGTGGGTCTACGATCGGCGAACAGAATCAACAGGGCGAGACTAGAGAGATAAATCCAGGTACAAGGCAAAGGTCCAGGCTATCACTGCTGGCGATAAGCGCATACAATACTCGGCCGCGGGAAGGGATCAGAGTGAGTGTTAAATAGTGAGTGAGTGATATGAAACAGCTGTGTGCAATCAGTGCTGTGTGCAATCAGTGCAATGAATGATGGGATATGTAGTCTGGGGTGATATGCAACAGTGTGTCGTGCGAGAGTCAATTAAAATGGAAAGGGTGACCTCTGATGGCTAGCAGACGGAATTTCATGGACCGGATACGTAACATCTCCTTTAATGTTTTGATTTGAAGGTGTTATTGTGCTACCTTTTTTCACAATAAATGCCACTTATATATTTTGATTTATAATGCAAAAACATTTATACATTTTTAAGCTTGCATAAAGTGAGCCATTTTTAGGTTACCTTTTAGGTCACATCATATTTGATGTCCAGTGTATTACTGTTAAGTATTATGTAGGCCTACTGTTTGAAGTTGTTACAATATTGGAGTAATTACAAAATATTAAGTTGTTACAAAAGCTATTGCTAACCAAAACTACAAAAGAAGTCAACAATGTAAAGCTTTCTAACAGTCATTCATCACAGCAAAAAGTTCATATCACCTTTTTGTCCCTGGGTTCAGCATGGCTAAATGAAGACTTGCCATTGTGAAGTTCCAATCATCCATCTACTCCACAATGCAGTCAAAACTCCAGACAAAAATAACCCCAAATGGTAAATCATACTTCCATAGGTGACTACTGACTTTGAATGAACAACTCCTGAAAATAATGATCACACCATATATTTAATGACTCCTACTCACTTCATATTTTTCATATTTCCTGACGTAAT